CCCACACTACCCAAAGGTCTCTGGGCAGCTTACAGCATTAATATGGTTATATCCAGTACAGGGCTATACTGTATTGTAATTATGGTTTAATCACATGCAATATACTGTAGATGAGACAGAGTGTCTATACTAAAGTTTGCTGAGCATATATAATACAATAACTGCAGCCGTGCAATTGGATCCATATGATTATAACCATACTACCCCCCCTCCTTTGATACCACCAGAATTCTCTTGGATCCAGGAGGTGAGCTTTGCAAGGCTGAGGGTCAGGACCATTTGAAAAATGGCACAAAGTCTTTTTTGAATCAGTGGATATTATAGCTAAACCCACTTAAATAGAAAACCAAACTTTGTGCTGTTGTGTAATAGGATAAGAGGTTTCTACCCTCCAGAGAGGAAGCAGGAGATTGGATCTGTCTAACAGCTAAAATCTCCATCGAGTGCTCATCTGGCATTTGAGAACTCCATTGAGTCCAGTGTTTCCAGTCTGATTAACGATTCCTTTAACAGGTACTGAAATCTACTCCAAAGGGGCTTCTGCTGCTTTTATTACGATTTGAACTTCCTAAATTCAGACAATTAAAGGGAGATATTTAACATTTCCTCAGTAGATGCTGTCCCGACCCTCATCTGCTCAGACAAGAATTCTGCCACTATCTATTTCCAGGAATGAAAAGATAAGCAAGGGAATTGTCTTTGTTGCAAGCAGATCCTTGTAAGAATGAGTACTGAAGCTGAAATGAGTTGTTTAGTCAAAATCATTACAAGAGAGGTAGGGCCCATTCAAGTCTACCTTTGAATATGATATCTTCTTAATTTAAAATATATAACTGTGGAGATGGGGATGTATTATAAAGGATACCAAAATACCATCTGATAGAAGTTGTTGGTACTCGCTTAGTAAAACCCCAAGGAAACCCTGCACTGCTTGACCAACAGAGGGTCTCTGCAATCTCAATGAAACCAGATATGTGGAATGCATGAATGAGCATTATGTATTACTTTCTTTGTTAACTATTGTGCTTGTTTTATTACAATTTTTTTTAATCTGAAGAAAGTTGTCACTTGGAAGTGCAGGTGATGAATACATAATTAACATTTCACATGCATAACCTAGAGATATAAACACAAATGTTAAACTCCTAAGTCTATTCTTATACATCCCCTGAATGAGAGATGAAGATGCCCTCCTGAATAGAGATATCATGAACCACAGTACAGCGTTCAGCCCAGTTCAGTGCAGCACTCACACGGGCATTGAATGGGCACTGTACATGCCCCTCTCTCACCTCTATGCACTTGCCCATTCCCCAACTGAAACATGCTTCCCTTCCTTGCCTTCTCAGCACAATGGCCCATTCACCAATTGCAATTGCAGTGTGAACTTCCCTCCTCCATCTCCTCTGGCAGCCACCCACTCAGACAAAGAGGTGTGGCAGGGGAACTTGTAGCTCTGCCTTGGAGTGGGCAGGTGCCACTGCAGTTGGCGAGTGGGCGATCATGCTGAGGAAGTGAGAGAGGGAAGCTGGGGAATGGGTGAGTGCACAGAGGAGGTGGAAGAGGGGAGTGTATAGCACCTGCCCCAAACTGG